AAAACCCATAAGTCTTCTATGAGAAGACCTACACATCTTCTATGAGAAGACCTACAGGTCTTTTGTGAGAAGACCTACAGGTCTTCTATAAAAATACACTTCTGGTCTTCTATAGGAAGACCTGCTGGTCAGCTATGAGAGGACCTACAGCTCTTCTATAAAACTTTTATAAGAAGATCTCTTGCTGTTCTATAAGAATGAATAAGGTTATTGTAATAGAGGGTCTTTTAATTATGTCCGTCAAGATAAATTTAAATTTAATTAGCAAAGACACAAACCAAGGTGATTTTTTCTCCGGTTCACAAAGGGTTAATAAAGAGAGAGAGAGAGAGAGAGAGAGAGAGAGAGAGAGAGAGGGAGTAGTAAACCAGAGAAAATTAAAGGCAAACTAAATTATATTAGTTTTCATCAAATTTCATAATTTTCCATCCAAATTTCAAATTTCAAATGAAATCGCTAAATAAAAACCTAATTAAAATTTACGTTGAAAAACTTTGAAACCCTTAACTCCACATATAAACCGAGAATAAAATATTTAAAAATGAAGCGGTGTTGTGGCTGGGCACAAAAGAAAGATCTCGAGGAGTACTTTCCGAATCTGTGGACCTTATAGCCAAAAAGAATTTTTGACCTAGGAATTTTTTGCATTTTCTGAAGAATTATCGCTCAGTTTTATGGAAATTGCAGATAAAAGCGTCCACAGAACAAAAACTAAAAATGAAGCGGTGTCGAGGCTGGGCACAAATGAAAGGTCTCGAGGAGTACTTTCCGAATCTGTGGACCTTATAGTCAAAAAGAATTTCAGACTTAGGAATTTTTTGCATTTTCTGAAGAATTATCGCTCAATTTTATGGAAATTGCAGATAAAAGCATCCACAGAACAGAAACTAAAAATGAAGCGGTGTCGAGGCTGGGCACAAATGAAAGGTCTCGAGAAGTACTTTCCGAATCTGTGGACCTTATAGCCAAAAAGAATTTTTGACCTACGAATTTTTTGCATTTTCTGAAGAATTATCGCTCAATTTTATGGAAATTGCAGATAAAAGCGTCCACAGAACAGAAACTAAAAATGAAGCGGTGTCGAGGCTGGGCACAAATGAAAGGTCTCGAGAAGTACTTTCCGAATCTGTGGACCTTATAGCCAAAAAGAATTTTTGACCTACGAATTTTTTGCATTTTCTGAAGAATTATCGCTCAATTTTAGGGAAATTGCAGATAAAAGGGTCCACAGAACAGAAACTAAAAATGAAGCGGTGTCGAGGCTGGGCACAAATTTAGAAATTAATTAAAAACGTGTTGCAATTATTTTTGTATTTTCTGTATTTATAATTTGAATTCAACAATTTTTTGTCAGTGCATGTATATTACCATCGGTTCAATTTTAACTCCAATCAATGCTCTCACTATTTCTCGAAGTTCGAATTGAATTTGTTAGATTTGATTTTAGCTTTACATTTGCTCTCACTGAGGAAAGCTCTAAAAGCTTTTACAAAAAACCGAAAAATTTAACAAATGTTCTTCATGTATAGCAGAGTCGTGAAGAGGGAGAGAGAGAGAGTGAGAAAGAGAAAGAGAAACACGATCCTGCGTAAAGGTTTGTGAGGAGACAAAGAACTAAGTGCGCGCTCCCAAAATGCGAACGTTACTATTTTTTTTTTAGGAATTTTGTTTTGTTTTAAGAAAATGCTGCGCCAGAAGAGTGCTATCCGGTGTTGGAAAACATATATTTTTGTACGCATGGGCCATTATTATTATTCTGCATTAAGTTAATTTTAATTTAATTTTTTTATTTCAAATACTTAATTTTTATTTTCAAATCCATACTTTGATAAAGAACAAAAATTACTTTTTTATTTTTGAAAATGAACGTATAAAAAAAATAAATATTTATTTATTTATTTATTTTTTTTAATACGTTAATTTTCAAAAATAAAAAGTAATTATATATTTATACATCTATATATACGTTCATTTTCAAAAATAAAAAAGTAATTTTTGTTCTGTATCAAAGTATGAATTTGAAAATAAAAATTAAATATTTGAAATAAAAAAATTAAATTAAAATTAACTTAGTGCAGAATAAGCATAAACGAAATAATGGCCCATGCGTACAAAAATATATGTTTTCCAACACCGGATTGCACTCTTCTGGCGCAGCATTTCTTAAAACAAAACAAAATTCCTAAAAAAAAAAATAGTAACGTTCGCATTTTGGGAGCGCGCACTTAGTTCTTTGTCTCCTCACAAACCTTTACGCAGGATCGTATTTCTCTTTCTCACTCTCTCTCTCTCCCTCTTCACGACTCTGCTATACATGAAGAACATTTGTTAAATTTTTCGGTTTTTTGTAAAAGCTTTTAGAGCTTTCCTCAGTGAGAGCAAATGTAAAGCTAAAATCAAATCTAACAAATTCAATTCGAACTTCGAGAAATAGTGAGAGCATTGATTGGAGTTAAAATTGAACCGATGGTAATATACATGCACTGACAAAAAATTGTTGAATTCAAATTATAAATACAGAAAATACAAAAATAATTGCAACACGTTTTTAATTAATTTCTAAATTTGTGCCCAGCCTCGACACCGCTTCATTTTTAGTTTCTGTTCTGTGGACCCTTTTATCTGCAATTTCCCTAAAATTGAGCGATAATTCTTCAGAAAATGCAAAAAATTCCTAAGTCTGAAATTCTTTTTGACTATAAGGTCCACAGATTCGGAAAGTACTCCTCGAGATCTTTCATTTGTGCCCAGCCACGACACCGCTTCATTTTTAGTTTCTGTTCTGTGGACCCTTTTATCAGCAATTTCCCTAAAATTGAGCGATAATTCTTCAGAAAATGCAAAAAATTCCTAAGTCTGAAATTCTTTTTGACTATAAGGTCCACAGATTCGGAAAGTACTCCTCGAGACCTTTCATTTGTGCCCAGCCTCGACACCGCTTCATTTTTAGTTTCTGTTCTGTGGACCCTTTTATCTGCGATTTCCCTAAAATTGAGCGATAATTCTTCAGAAAATGCAAAAAATTCCTAAGTCTGAAATTCTTTTTGACTATAAGGTCCACAGATTCGGAAAGTACTCCTCGAGACCTTTCATTTGTGCCCAGCCTCGACACCGCTTCATTTTTAGTTTCTGTTCTGTGGACCCTTTTATCTGCAATTTCCCTAAAATTGAGCGATAATTCTTCAGAAAATGCAAAAAATTCCTAAGTCTGAAATTCTTTTTGACTATAAGGTCCACAGATTCGGAAAGTACTCCTCGAGACCTTTCATTTGTGCCCAGCCTCGACACCGCTTCATTTTTAGTTTCTGTTCTGTGGACCCTTTTATCTGCAATTTCCCTAAAATTGAGCGATAATTCTTCAGAAAATGCAAAAAATTCCTAAGTCTGAAATTCTTTTTGACTATAAGGTCCACAGATTCGGAAAGTACTCCTCGAGATCTTTCATTTGTGCCCAGCCACGACACCGCTTCATTTTTAAATATTTTATTCTCGGTTTAAACGGTTAAGGGTTTCAAAGTTTTTCAACGTAAATTTTAATTAGGTTTTTATTTAGCGATTTCATTTTAAATTTGAAATTTGTAGGGAAAATTATGAAACTTGATGAAAACTAATATAATTTAGTTTACCTTTAATTTTCTCTGGTTTACTACTCCCTCTCCCTCTCTCTATCTCTCCCTCTCTCTCTCTTTCTCTCTCTCTCTTTATTAACCCTTTGTGAATCGGAGAAAAAATCACCTTGGTTTGTGTCTTTGCTAATTAAATTTAAATTTATCTTGACGGACATCTTTTAATTGAGGATCTACTCGTTTTTCATAAAAAGACATTATATTGGATTTTCATAGCTGGTTTAAATGACAAACCTGGTTCCCCATCAAAAACCCAGATTATAGGGTACAATTATTTTTCCCGGCCTTTGCTTTCCTCCTCTTATCATCTTGTTGTCATATTCTTTTTTCTCACTCTTCTTCTTAGTCGTAACTTACAAAACATCTTAGATGGTACTTAGGTAACTTACTTCTGATGGCATCCCTAATATGTTTTTTTTTTCTTCAACATTTCACCGGTTCTTTGGATTGTCAGAACTTTTTTGGTTGCTTGGTGTTGTTGTCGCTCTCGTTCTCGATGTTGTTCCAGTTGCCTCATTTCATGTCATGAGGTTTATTTTTTTCTCTGTTGATTCTCATCAAACTGCCTTAATTGTTTGTCTTCGCTGCCAGAGTTGGTGTTTCTTCTTTTTTTATCAATTCAATTTGTTTGTTCCTCTTTAGGCAGGCCTGCCCCTGCCCTCTTCCGTCATCGTCGTCGTCTGCTCCACCCTCTGTCGAAGGTTTGCGCTGGTAATTTGTCTTGACTTTAATTCAATTTGATGTCATCGGTCGGTTCGGTGTTTATTTTAGATATTTTTAAGTCTCTAATAAAACAACATTTAATAAAAAAGAAGGTTATTTATTTTTTTTCTTTTGCGACAGTTGACACAAAGAAAACTGTGATTTTTTTCTTGTTGGTGTTGTTGTTGGAATTTTTATTGGGCCGAAAATGATAACATGGCCAATATTGACATAATTGTTTAAATTGGCCAAAATTGGAAGAAAAAAACATAATTTATTAATAAAGGGATTCGGAGTGAAAAAGTTAATGTTCACTGGAAAAGGTTACATAAATATTGAAAAGCAAAATGTTTTGTCATGTTTAGGGTGTGTAAAATTGGGTTTCAAAATTAAATAAAGGAAAGCAAATACGGCTATTAATGTAAAATAATTATGGATTATTTAGGAAGACCAAAAATGCCCAAGCATGGCGAATGGTAACGCATTATTATTATTATTATTATTTTTACTTACCTCGACTTATTCATCGAAAATAATTGATTCAAAAGTATAGGAAATAGCTTGTTATGTATCAAATTACGGGAGTTGGATCCTCGGAAGTAAACTTAATTTTAACTGAATGCCTTTTGTTTGAAAAATTTTATAATAATTTAGTTTTCATTCTTATTTCAGGAATTTAAAGTTACTCCAATGCTGGCATTAATTTAGGCAATAAACAAGCAGTTACAAAAGGTAAGCACATTTAGTAATAGATTTATTTTATTAAACCGCCGAGATAAACTTATATTATAGGGTGAGATAAAAAAATTGCAACAAAGTCAAAAGCCATACATTTTTACATTTTCTTAAATTTTATTGAATGAAAGCAAAAAAATGTCGGAAATAGCCTCAAATTTTAGAATAAGTTTAGATTTGTTCGAATTGGTCACCTTTGGCACGAATTATGGCCTTCAAAAGGCCAATGAAACCGTCACACGCTGCCCGAATATTGATCTGCGATATTTTGGCCCATTCCCGGCGAAGCGCTTGCTTGAGGTGATCGACACTTTGGTATTTTTTAGTGCCAACCTTGCTTCCAAAATACTCCAGACACAATAGTCCAACGAATAGGTATCCGGAGATTTTGGTGGCCATTGTGCGCCGGAAATGAAGCGAGGAACCTCATTTGGTAACCATTCTTGGGTTGCGCGTGCTGAATGCGATGGTGCTGACTCCTGTTGGAATGTTCAAGGTCTGCGGCCAAAATGTTTGAGTGCCCAAGGCTTTAATACACCCTCCAGAATATTTTCGATATAATATTCGGCATTTATTCTGATGCCATGGTCGATTAATACGAGCGGAGAGCGACCATCGGCTGTTATGGCGGCCCACAACATCACCAAGGCCGGCGCTTGAGTGCACATTTTCAGCTGACCTCTTTGGCAAGTAAACACGATCTATTTGTTTGTTTACAAACTGCTGGACAACGAATGTTTTCTCATCGGAGAAAACCAAATTCGGCAGTTCACCAATTTCGGCCAAGCGAAGTAATCTTTAGCCCTTTTGAGAATATTTTCTTGCGGTGTAAGTTCTTGCACTTTTTGAAATTTCAATGGCTTTACCCCAAGCTCATTTTTCAATATTTGCCGAATGGAATATTGCGATATGTTCAGCACACGAGCCATTTTCCGGCCACTGCGACGCGCGTTTGAGTCGCATTTCTGCTAATATTGTTGTTTTCTTCCGTTCACTTCCATGACGTCGGGCTATCACGAATAACTTTTTTCATCTCACCCAGTAGTGCTACGATTTATTTATTATATTGGTATTTGAATTCCAACGAATTCCCAGGTCTAGTATACTTTCTGAGGTCTTCATTAGAAAAAAAGAAAGGTTAATCCGTCTATAGTCTTCGGGAAATGTGTGACGAAGTTTCCCGGTTTAGGGAATATAGGTTACCGTTGCCTCTTTTTACAGACTGGGTATGAAGCACAACTTGAGACAAGCCTTAAAAGTCTCCTGCATCATAGCCATCACTGAATCAGCTACAATTTGCAACATTATCGGTAAAATGACATCTGGATCAGAGGACTTGAAGAATTGAAAGGTGTTGATTGTCTGCCAAAAACATATATTGGTTTTATATTTTCTTCTTCCCCACAGCCTTTTACTGGGCTCTAGCTTATCGTGAGTTCGCTTAGTATTGCTTTGGTATATATCCCCTCGAACTTTAGGTTCGTCCTGATAAGCTGCAGCTTCATATGAGTAAGATTTGATGGATGCCGTCGACTACAGTAATTTATTGCTCGACGATATGCCTTTTTATCCCTTGCCTCCTTGGATTTGAAGGTTTTGATGTCGGAAGAACTACCTCAACTACATCCTGCTTTGAGAGCAAGGGTCTGTTGGCATTTCCGACGAATTGGTAATAGAGTGTCTGGGGCTACTCAGGCTGACTTTCTTCGGAGTCAATCCCTGAGACAGAGATAAATGTCCTCTTCTCCGTCAGACAAAGAACTTTCCCAGAAGCTTACTTGGATATTGTCCTGACTCAGAGTTAACGGTCCTATATTCCCAATAAGTTGGCATTTTGTTTGCTGCTGTCGTTCACTAAGTAAAGTGTCAGAGCATTGTCGCATTGCTTCCTATCCGCTTTCTCCTACTAGTGACAGCAGAGATCGTTATTCAGGAAGGTATCAGCGAAGCTCCGTTGGAATACAGTCGATATCTTGCCTGTCAATGTGTAACATAAATGGGCATGTGGTAGCAGAATATTCTAGCATTAAGGTGTCTTCTTTATCTGGGACCAGCACAGAGGCTTGGCTTTTCTAGGGGCGTCCAAATATTGCCTCGTCAGTCTTAGCATCATTGGCACACTTGTATTAAATCCAGTCAAATCTGACTCTCCGGGACTGCTTATTGAATTCGCAGCTATCCAGTGTATATACTGGGCCTTCCAGTATCTGCAACCTGTGAACGAGTTTTATACCAACCACCTACGCTCCCGAAGGTAGGTACGAGGTATACATGCAAATTTTCAAAATACTTAATAATTTTTGTTGTTGTTGCAAAATAGTCAGGATTAATCCCATTATTGTTGTTTTTATAAAAACAACGTTTGTTTTTTAGTGGAGAACGATGGAAATGTTTACCAGGGGGTAAGACAGGGAATATCTAGGTTTCGGAAAGAGCTACCAATCCTCGTCAGTTCCTTTGCTTTTTTAAGCCCTCTACCATTCGATGGAGGGTATATTAACTTCGTAATTCCGTTTGTAACTCCTCGAAAAATTTATAATAGACCCTACAAAGTATATATATTCTGGATCTGCGTAAAATTCTAAGACGATCTAGCGATGTCCGTCTGTCTGTCTGTTGTAATGACGCTATCCTTTGAACGAATTGAGATAGAAGGCTAAAATTTTGCATACGTGCACAGTTTACCAGTAAGCAGGTTAGGTTCCTAAATTGGCTATGACGGTCCACGTTTTTGTATAGCCCCCATATAAAGGTACCTCCCGATATTCAGTATTTGATGATTTCAGCGACATTATTCACCGGAATTGTTTCAAATTTGATATTCGAAGTTCGTAATGAGTACTACAGTCTGTAACAGAAAATTTCGTATGCAGGTCCATGTCTTCGTATAGCGCCCATATAGCAAAACCTCTCTTTATTCGGCATTTTGCTGATTTTAGCAAAATTATTCGCCGGAATTGTTTCAGATTCTGAATTTGAAGATCTTAAAAATAAACTATGAAAGAAAACTTCGTATATCTCACGTATCAAGGTATAACGGTATTTTTCGTAATTTTTTGAAAATTTTCATGTTGGTGGAGGGTATTTAAAGTTTTACTAGTTTTTTTTTAAAACAAAGTTTGTTTATTAGTGGAGAAAGGTGGTAATGTTTCCCATGGGATTAGGCAGGAAATATCTAGGTTTCGGAAAGAGACAGCAATCCTCATCAGTTCCCTTGTTTTTTTGTCTGTCTGGGATATTCTCCCCCTTTCCCCTTTCTTTCAAACATTCATCTGCATGTAATGAGAACAAACTTATTTAATAGTTTGCATTTATTTAATTGAATTCATATTTCCAAATAACAACATTCCGGAAACACATTTGTACACCAATTAAATTAACACCTGTTACAGATTTATTCTAAGCCGTGTGAAACATTGATCGCAATCTCATGAACAAAATGCCATGTAAAAGCTTTTATTTAATATTATAATTAATCTCCTTCAAATTGCTTAAATTACATTTCATTTAGTATTAATTTATGGCGACTGATGCTGTTACATTTTTTATCCGGATTTAAACCGCATGCGAACACTTCAAATCAAGCCACGCTCACCTTTCATTTTTTTGAACAAACGAATAAGGCATTTGTCTGTGATTGTCAGATTTTTTTTGTAGTGGCTGTCGTTGTTGTAGCTTTTTTAATAATAAAATTGAATTTACATTGATGATGATTACATCATAATTGTAGTTACAAGTTGACGATTGTTGTTGATGCCTGCCGCCTATGCAAGCTGTCACCTTTAAACAAATTCAAATGAAAATGTTTGAGTGTGACAGAGACGTAGGAAATAGAAAGTGTGGTGGGGGGACAACTGTGGAAAGAGAAATGTATTCTCTTTTTGTAGACTTTAAGCTCCCATTACATTACATCTCTGATAAAACGTGTGAAAAATGTCTTGTCTGGTGTATGGTTGAGGGAAATTTCTTAAAAATATTTTAGACTCTCTGGGATTGGCTAGAGAGGGTATATATCATTTGATACGGCCAAAACGTGCCTCTCTTTGAGCCAAATCCGTTTCAAGACATTTGGATCTAGCGATGTCCGACCGACTATTTCTCTGTTGGCTGGTGCGTACGTTAACTTTCGCAGGGAGGACTCAATTCGGTCCAAACTTGCTAAATCGTAATATTATTGTCAAACTTAGACCCCGTTCGAGGATGGGCAATATCGGAGCACTCCTTCTGGTACCTCCCCCACAAAATAATTAATTAATAATAATAAATAATTTTTAATTTTTTTTTTTAAATTTTATTGAATAAAAATGTATTTTATTGAATGAAAAATATTGTCGGAATTAGCATCAAATTTTAGAATACGTTTAGATTTGTTCGAATTGGCCACTTTTGGCACGAAATATGGCTTTCAGACGGCCAATGAAACCGTCTCACGCTGCCCGAATGTTGCTCTGCGGTATATTGGCCTATTCCCGGCGAAGCGCTTGCTTGAGGTGATCGACTCTTTGGTATTTTTTAGTGCCAACCTTGCTTTCCAAAATACTCCAGACACAATAATCCAACGGATTGGTATCCTGAGATTTTGGTGGCCATTGTGCGCTGGAAATTAAGCGAGGAACCTCATTTTGTAACCATTCTTGGGAGGCACGTCCAGTGCGATGGTGTTGAGTCCCGTTGGAATGTCCAAAGTCTGCGGCCAAAATGTTTGCGTGCCCAAGGCTTTAATACACCCTCCAGAATATTTTCGCGATAATATTCGGCATTTATTCTGATGCCACGGTCGATTAATATGAGCGCAGAGCGACCATCGGCTGTTATGGGGGCCCACACAATCACCATGGCCGTCACTTGAGTTCTGGTGGCCAACCGAAGCTGCACATTTTCAGCTGACCTCCTTGCCAAGTAAACACGATCATTTTGTTTATTTACAAACTGCTGGATAACGAATGTTTTCTAATCGGAGAAAACCAAATTCGGCAGTTCACCACTTTTGGCGAAGC